CTGCTCTCCATGCTCCTGGATTTGAAATCGGGCCCGCCCCCCTACAGGGGGCTTCTGGGCTGCATAAACAACTCAAACATTACTCACCGAATGCCCCCAAACACTAAAACAGAACAACTCAAACATTACTCCCTATATGCCCCACAATAGTCAAAACATCGTCCCCAGACTATGTTTGGGTTACTTTTGAATATTCGGGGATGGACATACCCCCCTGTAGTAAAACGTGGTGTAGCGAAAACGATCTGAGGCCCAAACCTGGCGGGCGCAAGCCTGGAAAATGACGGCCACGGCGCCATCTCGAGAACCGAAGACGGAAAATCCACGAGTCGACGTGCCACTGTTGGGGATTCTGTCCACCCTCGAAGTATTCCTCCTGTAGATGGACAAGCCCGACTCTGCCCTGGACCGCCCCTCCTCGCGCGTCGGGCCCCCGCCGTGCGCGGCCACCTCCTCGTCCTCGCGCCGCCGCCCTGGGAAAAATTGACGCCTCTCCGACGAAAGCCGCGGTGCGCGACGCGCGGCTCTCTTCGCGCCCGTGGAGGCGACCCGATCCGAGGATCCCCTGCCCGAAGAGGAGGAGGAGCAGGAGGAGGAGGAGGAGGAGGAGGAGGACGGGCGTCCAAATCTGGGGGTCCACATTGCGAAACTAATTCCAAGGAGGAGGAGGAGGAGGAGGAGGGGGAGGACCGTGCGTCCAAGAGGGCACGTGCCCGAGCACGACCCCCAGGAGCAGCACGAATCCTCCCTCCTCTCCTTCCTCCGTGCGTCCCAGAGGGTACGTGCCGGAGCACGACCCACGGGAGCAGCACGCATCCTCCCTCATCTCCATCCTCCGTGCGTCCCAGAGGGTACGTGCCGGAGCACGACCCAAGGGAGCAGCACGCATCCTTCCTCATCTCCTTCCTCCGTGCGTCCCTGAGGGTACGTGCCGGAGCACGACCCAAGGGAGCAGCACGCATCCTTCCTCATCTCCTTCCTCCGTGCGTCCCTGAGGGTACGTGCCGGAGCACGACCCACGGGAGCAGCACGCATCCTCCCTCATCTCCTTCCTCCGTGCGTCCCAGAGGGTACGTGCCGGAGCACGACCCACGGGAGCAGCACGCATCCTCCCTCATCTCCTTCCTCCGTGCGTCCCTGAGGGTACGTGCCGGAGCACGACCCACGGGAGCAGCACGCATCCTCCCTCATCTCCTTCCTCCGTGCGTCCCAGAGGGTACGTGCTGGAGCACGACCCAAGGGAGCAGCACGAATCATCTCCTTCCTCCGTGCGTCCCAGAGGGTCGCAAGTTACTCACAGGCGAAGCTCCCTCACCCTCCGCCTCCCGCGGGCGCGAATCGTGACGTGACCAGCCCCCTCCCCCCCTGGTCACGCCTGTGCCAGAGAACCAAAAAAGTGATTCCGATAACCCCCCAAGCTTCCCCAATAGGCCCCCCAGAGGTCCTCCGGAAGCTTCCCAAAAAACTCCCAAGGCGTCCAAAACGCCCGTACTCTCCGCAGTCCGGACGTGCACCCCGCGAAGCGAGAGGAATCCACGTCCGGAAGTGACGTGTTGCCGGAGGCAGGTCCGCGGATGCTGTAATGCAACGGATCCAATGTGTCCAATGATTGCATAATTGCTACATATTGTATTGTATTACAGTATTATGTCTCCCCCCCTAACCCCCCCCTGGAGTCGCGCCACAGCGCCGTACCAAACTGGCGGCCCCCCTTTTGGGGCCCCAAAACGTACCAAAATGTATGGGAAATCAATAATTTCGGCACATTGGCCCTCTTGGGGGTCTCAACGGGCCCCAAGACGGCTCCAGATGGCCCCAATACGGCCCAAGACGGCCCTAAGACGGCCCGAGATGGCCCCAAGAGGGCCCAAAAAGAACCCAAGACGGCCCAAGAGGGCTCCAAGAGCGCCCACAAGAACGCCTCCAGAGGCCAAAAACATTGATTTTCCTTACGTTTTTGAAGGATTTAAGCTTTCTCGCCTTTTTCGCCTCTCCGAAGCCCATGACGGCCCGAGCAGCCTCCAAGATGGCCCCAAAAAGGCCCAAGAAACACCCAAGGGGGCCCCAAGACGGCCCCAGAGGGCCACAAGACGGCCCAAAGAGGCCCCCAAGACGGTCCAAGAAACCCCTGAGACGGCCCAAGAGGACCCCAAGAGGGCCCCAAGGCGGCCGCGAGAGGCCCCCAAGACGGCCTCCGAAGGGGCGAAACGGCGCGAAAGCGCCCCAAGACGGCCCAAGACGCCCCCAAGAGGCCCCAAGAGGCCACCAAGAGGCCCCCAAATGGCCCCAAAAAGCCCCCCAGAGACCTCCGAAAAGTCCCCAAGAAGCCTCCAAAAGGCCCCAAAGAAGCCCCCCAAAGGCCACATAGCGACTGGAGTGTAATATTATTTCCCCCCCTGGACGAACTGCGGCGCAGCGCCAGCCAGGTGGAAGTTGGTCACGGCGGCGCCCATGATTAGAGCCAGCGCTGGAAGGGAAGATGGGGAGGGAGTCAAAAAAGGGGGGAAGAGGCCAGAAGAAGTCCCCAAGAGGCCCAAAGAAGCTCCCAAGAGGCCTCCAGGAGGCCCCCAAGAGGCTCCCAGAAGGCCCCGCGACATGACTGTACGTGCTCGGGACGTGCACCCCGCGAAGCGAGAGGAATCCACGTCCGGAGGTGACGTGCTGAGCGGCAGCGTTTTTCGGCGAACGCCTTACTGCAACGTATCCAATTTATCCAATAGTTGCATACTTGCCACATGTTGTACTGTGTTTCATTATTATGTCTCCCCCCCTAACCCCCCCTGGGAGCTGCGCCACACCGCCGGACCAAAGTGACGCCCCCCTTCTGGGGCCCTAAAAACATACAAAAACCAGCGAAAATCAGCACATTCGGCCTCTTGGGCCTCTGGGGGCTCCTCGAGGGCCTCAAGATGGCCCAAGATGGCCCCAAGACGGCCCAAGACAGCCCCAAGACGGCCCGAGATATTCCCAACGGGGACCCATGAGGCCCCGAAGGCGGCCCCAAGACGGCATCAAAAGCTCCAAGGACGGCCCAAGAGGGCCCCAAGAGCGCCTACAACTGCGCCTCCAGAGGCCGAAATCATTATTTTCCCATGGTTGTTGCAATATTTTAGCGTTCTCGCCTTTTTCGACTCTCAAAAATCAATAACGGCCCAAGCAGCTTCCAGAATCGCCCCAGAACAACAAAAAAAAACACCCAAGAGGGCCCCAAGACGGCCCAGGAGGGCCCCAAAACGGCCCAAAGAGGCCCCCAAGACGGTCCAAGAGGCCGCGAAGCCGGCCCAAGAGGACCCCAAGAGGGCTCCAATGCGGCCGCGAGAGGCCTCCAAGACAGCCTCCGAGGGGGCGAAAAGGCGCAAAAGCGCCCCAAGACGGCCGAAGACGCCCCCAAGAGGCCCCAAGAGACCCCGAAAAAGCCTCCAAGAAGCCTCCCAGAAGCCTCCAAAAGGCCCCCAAAAAACCCTCCAAAGGTCACACAGCGACTGGAGTGTAATGTTATTTTCCCCCCTCTGGGCGAACTGCGGCGCAGCGCCAGCCAGGTGGAAGTTGGTCATTGCGGCGCCCATGATTAGAGCCGGCGCTGGAAGGGAAGATGGAGAGGGTGTATGAAAATGAAGGAGGGGGGAAAGGCCCCAAAGAAGTCCCCAAGAGGCCAAAAGAAACTCCCAGGAGGCCCCCAGGAGGCCCCCAAGAGGCTCCCAAGAGGCCCCGCGATGACGTGACTGTACGTGCTCCTGACGTGCACCCCGCGAAGCGAGAGGAATCATGCGATCAGCGGCTCGCATTGGGGGGGAGGCGGGGCGGCACGAGCAGCGAGGTTCGAGGTTCGAGGATTGTGGTTTTTGTGATAGGCGTCTTCATTGCTTCTCGGCGGCTTTCGGGCCTCGGGGGCCCTCAAGCGGCTACGCCTCGCCGAGGGGCGTTCAGGGGGTGCCAGGATCGTCCCGAACTGCCGCTGGAGAGCCGAGTTCTGACTCGAAAACCACGGGGGACGGGTGGGGGGCTGGGGAGGCAGGAGCCAGGGTCCGAAAGTAATTTCTGGAAGGTCCTCAAACCACCAGGACGAGTGGAGGACATATGGAGCCTGCCAGAGGCGAGGGGGCGCCTTAAACCCAGGGAGACGACCCCAAATTGTGCTCAGGGCCCGCTCCCTCGCGCAGCGGCCCTCCGCTGGGGGGGGGTCACGACCGGCGAACGTAACTATCCATATCCACGCCCCCGCGGTCTGGATTCTGCGGTGACATCCCGCGGATGCGCGGCCGCACGGATACGCTCCGCGCAAGGCATCCGAGAAACAAGACCCGCATCCGCGGAGTAGCGGACCAGGGGCCCGGCCCACGAGGCCGTGGATACGGACATGGTTTTCGCGCACGAGGGGGCAGGCAGGGGCCAGGGTTCGGAGGCAATTTCTGGGATGTCTTCCTTAGGACGATCAAGAATTGTACGTTAATCCGTTGAAAACTCCCGAGCGGTACTGTACCGGATCAGACTGGTTTCCGGCCACGGAAATACCAGCGCCGATATTGAAGTTAAGCTCACAGGAGCTGCGTCCCATTCAGGGGGAATCCTCCCGGTGGTTTTGCCCCCCGGTTTTGCGCCGCCCGCCCGTGGCATCTCCAAATTCCCGAGGTGCAGGAATAAAGATGGCTCTCTGGCGTTTGGGGTCGGCCTGTCCTGCGCGAAGTGGGCCAGCGCCCGTGGGAGAGATGAGGAGGGAGAGAGAGAGAGAGAGACAGAGAGAGGGGGGACGGCAGGACGACGACAAAAGTGGCAAAGGAAGAGGAGCGCACGTAGCTCGAGAGAGGGGGAGGAGGAGGAGGCGGGGGGGCAGGGGACGTGCCCGCTCCCAACCTGGGAGCACATGCTCCCCTCCTCTCCCGGCGTTGGCACGGGGAGGGCCCAGGAGGGCGACCAGGACGCGTGGAGGCAACACCCAAAGGGGCGAGGCGGAGCAGCGGGCGCGGCTGGAGGCCGAGGCGGCGGCCACGAGCGAGCGGGGCCTCCGCGCCGCAGCCCGCCAGCGCGAGCCGAGCCTCGGCCGCGAGGGCGGCCTGCAGCGAGCGGGCCTGCGGGGCCGCAGCGCGCCGGGCCGCCCAGCGCAGCCCCTGCGCGGCCCCCTCGGGCCGGCGAGGGCTCCGGCGGCCCGATGCGCGCGGCGCGCGCAGGGGCTCGCTGGGATCCGCTGGTAGCCACAGCGCGAGACTTAGCTGCCCCGATACGCGGCACGCGGCACGTGACGTGGCGTTATGGACGCGGAGCTCAGCATGCAGACTGAAACTGTAGGTGTGACGCGGCACGTTCGCCAAAACGTGGGCCTGTACGCTGAGCCAACATGCAACGCAATGGCACGGACGCTTTGAGCACGGTACGTGTTGCGTTTCAAAAAACGGGCGTGTTGAGGCAGCTAAGGCGCGCGAGGATGAGGGTAAGATTGAGGCCCCTGGGGGTCCGAGAGTGAATCGCTCTGCTTGGCTGACGGCTGACCTCCTGGGTGGCATGTGGATGCAGGCCGAGGCCTCTGGCTCGGAAAGCTATGGAGGAGGGGGGGAGGTAGAGGAGAAGGGAGGTGGTGGGGCCATGGAGGAAAGAGGAGCCGTTCCATCGCCCATATGTTCGGAATCGGCCCAGCCTCTTCACATACCCGCCCCGCAACTATTCACTATCACCTGGCGGCTTCGCCGTCCTCCAGCTGCGTCCTTTGCTCGCTGCCCATTGCTCGTTTCTTGTTCGCGACAAATGCCGCCGCACGTGCGTCCATTGGGCGACAAGATTCAAACGCGTCGCACCATCTCATCGGCGCCGCCCGGCCCCTTGCACGGACGGAACGCTGATGTGGAAAATCAGACAAACACACCAACATCTGGGCTGGCACGGGAACGGAAAGAGTGTTCTCAGGAAGTGCCCAAGAACGCTCATAGCATCGGTTCGCTTGGACGAGCGAGCCGATGGGTGCTCTCGGCGGCTGGTTGAGTACAACTGAGACGGGTCGCGTTCAAAGTTGGTTACCCTCTTATGTCCATATGAGGCAGCGTGAACGAAGCAGACAGCCGCACGCAGAGAGATGCCGCTGCTCGTTAGCAAGGCTTGGGGCTGCGCGCAGACGGACACTCCAAGCTGGTCTCGACAGGCCCCAGGGCAGCCGTCCTCAACATCCCAGGCCCAGGGCGCAGACCGCACTGGGGGCTTTGCCGAGGGCGGCACGGACATGTGGAGACCGCCCCTGGGGGCCTCCTGAGGCCAAAAGCGACGGACTGTGCCTGCAGGGGCCGTCTGTGCGCGCTGCAATGGGGTTATCGAACACGTGGGCCGCAGGGCTCTGGAGTTCCCAACCCCGCCCTTGGGCACTCACTGACTTCGCACCATCGGCCGTGCTGTTGTTCTTGCTTGCTGGCCCGAAGACCCCCGAGCTCTGAAACTCTCTGGAACTCTCCGGGGGTCCACCGAGGCCGCCACGAAGCCCACAGAGGGCCCAAGACACCCAAAGACCTCGCACCTCGATCTTCGACCCTCGATCCTCGAAATCTCAGTGTCCGAACCTCGATCCTCGATGTCCCCCCTCTCCTCCGCATCGCAGTTTCTTCGCGACCCACTGCAGCCACACGTCCGTCTACTGGTCAGGATCGAAGGAGCATCGAATCGGGAAATCGGATCGAAGCAGGGTGCGCATCGGATCGGGCTGCACCTGCGCCAAATGCAGAACAACGTCGTGCAGACCTCGTGCCGCATCGGAACGTCAGAATAGATCGAAATCGAATCGGATCGAGATGGTCGAAACCGATCTCGAATTCGATCAATCGGATCGAGACGGACCCTGCAGGTTGGAGGCGGCCAGGGGGTCTGAACTGGTTGGGGCCCCAGAAAATCGGTCAGGAGGGAAAGATGAAGACAAATCCGTTCAAAATCGGTCCCCGCACCCCTTCCGGGGTCCACCTGGTGTAGTTTTTCACCCCGGATCCGTGTCTGACGATCCCGGGGCCCGAAAACGGCCCCCCGAGGCCGAAAACGGCGAACAACCTTCCCGAACCCAGAGCCTCGAACCTCGCTGGGCAACAAGCTTCACACGTGTCGCGCCAGCTTGTCGGCGCCGCCCAGCCCCTTGAGCGGACGAAGCGCTGCGGAAGATCGCACGGCGAGCGGCCGTTAGCACATGTTTAGCGGGGAGCCAAAGGGGGGAGCAGGGCTCGAGATAAATAGAGATCTCCGCTTTCGTTTTCGTGTTGTTTTTGTGTTGCTGTTGTTGTAGATGTTGCTGCTATTGTTGTTGTCGGTGTTGTAGTTGTTGTTGTTGTTGTTGTTGTTGTAGTCGTCGTCGTCGTCGTCGTCGTCGTCGTCGTTGTTGTTGTAGCTGTTGTTGTTGTTGTTGTGGTAAACCTTAGTGTTCGCAACGATTTTAACATAAAAACATCAAAAAACCAATGGTTTTTCAACAAAACACTGTCAACATCTCATCCCGCGCGCTCTTGCGCATTCGTAGGAAACCCAACACTTTTTAAACATTTCTGTCAAACGGGCTTTTGCGAGCAACTTTTTCGAACTTCTGCGACAACGGTTGCGCACCTGCCAGGGCCATCATCCCTGTCAAATAATACCATGCGGGACAGATTCGTTTTTTCTTCGCGCGCGCACGCAGTCGTCGTCGGCCGCGGGGCCTTGAATAGTAGCCACGGTCGTCCGCAGGCCACGTAGTGAAGTGTCCGAACGTCATAGGGCGGGAAGCTGGGTGTGGGTGGTGGCGAAGAGTCGTTTGGAAATTGGTAGAGCTTGAACCGGCCCCCCCACAAAGTGGGGGTATTGCCCGCCTCCTATGAAAACCCTGGCACTGGTGAGAACGGAGTGTCCCCACGTGCTAGTAATTGTTGTTGTTTGTTGGCGAACACTATTAATTCTAAAGAATAATTAGGTTGGGCACCCTGTGCGCGACCCCGCCGCGCCTAGGCCGCAGCCACGTTTTCATCATTTTCGTGAGGAAGCCTCAGGTAATTCGAGGTGATCAAGATCCGGTTGTTTTGTTGTAATCCGCTTTCCCTTGCAAAAAACAATAGAAAATGACATTTCTTGTTCTAATATAATCAAATTTCAAGAATCCCTTGCAAAATATAAGGTAAAGTGGACATTCGCGCGCGCAAGACGAAATCCTTCCAAAACCTTATTTTTCGTAGCGATTTTAACATAAAAACATAAAAAACCAATGGTTTTTCAAAAAAATGTCAAAATTTCATCCCGCGCGCTCTTGCGGATTCGTAGGAAACCCAACACTTTTTAAACATTTCTGTCAAACGGGCTTTGCGAGCAACTTTTTCGAACTTCTGCAACAACGGTTGCGCACCTGCCAGGGGCCATCATCCCTGTCAAATAATATCATGCGGGACACATTCGTTTTTTCTTCGCGCGCGCACGCCGAAATCTCCAAAAACCAGGGTTCTGTGGGTGTTCTCCACGCCAGTGTGTAGTAGCCACGGTCGCTCGCCACGCAGAAGTGAAGTGTCCAACGTCATAGGGCGGGAAGCTTCGTGTGGTGTGTCGCGAGAGTCGTTGGATATTTGTAGAGCTATGTGTAAGCCCCCCACGAAGTGGGGGTATTCGCCTGGTGTCGTATGAAAACCCTGGCACTGGGGGAGAACACCACGCGTTCGGGTCGTTAAATGATTGTGTTGTTTGTTGTTGTTGTGTTGTGTTGTTGTTGTTGTTGTTTGTGGAGTCGCCGCTGCGTCGCGTACGTTGTCACGGATAAATGTGTTGTTGTTGGTGTTGCTGTTGTTATTGTGGTTGTTGTTGTTGTTGCTGTTGTTGTTGTTGTTCCCAACCATCCTGTGGTGTTGGGTCCTCGTTTTGAAGAGACGGTGGCCCGCGTCTCCTCTCCTCCTCTCCTCCTCCGCCTCCTCTCCCCTCCTATCATCCTCATCGTCATCATCATCATCATCATCATCATCATCGTCATCATCATCATTATCATCATCATTATCATCATCATTCCTCTCCTCTCCTCTCCTCTCCTCTTCTCTCCTCTCCTCTCCTCTCCTCCACTCCTCTCCTCCTCTCCTCTTCACCCACCCAGTACACCGTTTCGTGGCCCCATAGGGAGCTCCACCGAAGGCCCCAGTGCCCGCGCCCGCATGCGTCACCCACAACCAATTCGGCACACCCCTCACACGTTTCGTGGCTCCATAGGGAGCTCCACCGAAGGCCCCAGTGCCCGCGCCCGCATGCGTCACCCACACCCATTTGGGTCACCCCTCACACGCTTCGTGGCTCCATAGGCGAGCGGAAGACGAAGGCTGCCAAGTGCCCGCGCGCCCTATTGCGTCACCCACACCCATTTCGGGAAACCCTCACACGTTTGTGTGCTCCATAGGCAGACATACACCGAAGGCCCCAGTGCCCGCGCCCGCATGCGTCACCACACACATTTCGGCGCACACCCCTCACACGCTTCGTGGCTCCATAGGGAGGCTCCGCCGAAGGGCCCCAGTGCCCGCGACCGCATGCGTCACCCACACCCAGGTCGGCACACCACTCACTCACGTTGTTACGCGGCCCATAGGAGCTCCACCGAAAGGCCCCAGTGCCCGCGCCCGCATGAGTCACCCACACCCTATTTCGGCACACCCCTCACACGTTTCGTGGCTCCATAGGGAGCTCCACCGAAGGCCCCAGTGCCCGCGCCCGCATGCGTCACCCACACACCATTTCGGCACACCCCTCACACGTTTCGTGGCTCCATAGGGAGCTCCACCGAAGGCCCCAGTGCCCGCGCCCGCATGCGTCACCCACACCCATTCCGGCACACCCCTCACACGTTTCGTGGCTCCATAGGGAGCTCCGCCGAAGGCCCCAGTGCCCGCGCCCGCATGCGTCACCCACACCCATTTCCACACCCACTTCGGCACACCCCTCACACGTTTCGTGGCTCCATAGGGAGCTCCACCGAAGGCCCCAGTGCCCGCGCCCGCATGCGTCACCCACACCCATTTCGGCACACCCCTCACACGTTTCGTGGCTCCATAGGGAGCTCCACCGAAGGCCCCAGTGCCCGCGCCCGCATGCGTCACCCACACCCATTTCGGCACACCCCTCACACGTTTCGTGGCTCCATAGGGAGCTCCACCGAAGGCCCCAGTGCCCGCGCCCGCATGCGTCACCCACACCCATTTCGGCACACCCCTCACACGTTTCGTGGCTCCATAGGGAGCTCCACCGAAGGCCCCAGTGCCGCGCCCGCATGCGTCAGCCACACCCATGTCGGCACACCCCTCACACGTTTCGTGACCCCATAGGGAGCTCCGCCGAAGGCCCCAGTGCCCGCGCCCGCATGCGTCAGCCACACCCATTTCGGCACGCCCCTCACGCGTTCTGTGGCCCCATAGGGAGCTCCGCCGAAAGGTGCCCGCATGCGTCCCGCACACCCATTTCGGCACACCCCTCACACGTTTCGTGGCCCCATAGAGAGCTCCACCGAAGGCCCCAGTGGGTGTGCCCGCATGCGTCCCGCACACCCATTTCGGCACACCCCTCGTACGTTTCGTGGCCCCGTAGGGGGCTCCACCGAGAAGATATTCACCATTGCAGTATTCATAATTGCATATGGTTGGGTCCTTCGCCAGGATAATTGTTGTTGTTTTGCTTGTGCTGTAAAGCGAACTCAAAACGAAAGCGGTCCACGAAACCGCCCGAACACCGTTTAGCTCGAACCCTTGGGAGTGTGAGGGGGGCAGGCCTTCTCAGAAGGCGGCGGGGCTTCTCAGAAGCCCTTGCGCCGTCTGAGAAGCCGTCTGCGGCCTCGGAGGAGGCTTGCCATGCTTCTCAGAATGCGTAAGGGCTTGTAAGAAGCCCCGCCGATTTCTGAGAAGGCCTGCCCCCTCCCACTTCCCCCTGGGCTCGCCGCCGACATCTGGTATGCAGAACCTGGCCAACCAGACCTCAGACGTCCCGAACAATCGAGGAGGCAAGCGTTCTAGTCACAGCTCTCTGCGCCTGGAGGCCGTTCCCAGGCCCCCAGGACCGTCGACGCGCAGCTCGGGATGAAGAGCCTGTCCCAGGAAAGAGGTCGAGGGCCCAAGGACAGAGGACCAGGACAGACTTTCACCACTGGCGGCAAGAGACCCCGAACGGCCCCCCAGAGCAGTAAAGGTATCACTGCAGAGGGTGAACGGTGAAATGCGAAGGCCACAAGGAAGACTGAAGTGGACACCAGATTGAAAGAAGCCAGAAAGGATACCAAAAGGGAGGACCATACGAGGGAGCATACGGGAGCCCAGTCCGAAGACCACACGGGAGACCATGCGGAGACCACACAGGAGACCATACTGGAAACCATTGGGAAGACCATGCGAGAGACCATATGATTAGAAGAAGAAAGAACGCTATAAACATAATAAACATAAACTGTTGGCGCTCCGCGCGTATTTCTTGGATCTGCGCTGGGCCCGCCTCCCTGGCGCGCGGAGCGCGCCAGGGGCGGCGCTGGAGGCGCCGCCAGGGGGGCCCAGCGCGGATCCAAGAAATCCGCGCGGAGCGCCAAAAGTTTATGTTTATAGCGCTTCTTGTTCGAATGATAGACCACTGGGAAGACCACATGGGGAGACTTTTGGAGGGACCATACGGGAGACCGTGCGGGAGACCACGGGCCACCGGTTGTGGATCGGGGGGGGGGCCTCACGGGTGCCTTAGAACAGATAACTGTGACACCTTGACAGACAAGCCGTTTAGGGAACTACCGGATCGCCGGAGGCCTGCGTGTGGACTTCGCCGAGACAGGGTAACAAACATTGTTTCGTCAGCGGCAAGGCGGCGAAGTCCGCTCAAGCGAGAAGCTAGATAAGGGCACCAACTAGCGAATTGGCCGGCGAGCAAAGAGGGAAAGGGGGCCGAGAGGAAGACAGGGTAACAAACACACAACACACACATTTTGGGCTAACACACGTCCTGAGGTCCATCGACCAGCTCGAGGCACGCACAGACCGACTCCCCTCGGCCCCGCCCTCGGCACGAGAGCTATGCGCGCCCACTTCTCCCTCCTGACCGCCCCCCCTCCGCCTGACATCGACCAGAGGCTGGTCGCACCAAAAGCACATGCACGTCAAGCTCTGCCGTCCATCTCGGCGTAAACGGAATGCGCCATCGCCCTCATCTTCGCGAACAGCTTGTCCTGGCTGCGAGGACGAAGCAGTATCTCTCCGTGCATGAAGCCCTCGCACCACTGGATGTCGATCGGCGCGTGGCTCGGCGGCCCGTTGCCCGAGTTGTCCAGATGAGCGGAGGAACTTGAACGGGCTTGGCTTTTCTGCCGGCGCTGCTTGCGCACTCTGCGCTCGTGGTCCAAGAGACGGCGAATGTACAAGCTGGGCACGACGTGATCGTCGGCCCCCATCTCGATCACAGAGGGCACGTGAAGGTCCTCTGGCCAGATCTGACTCTGCTCCCAAAAATAATTGCGAGTAACCATGTTCTGGGTGAACAGCTCCTGGAAGCAAAAATACCGAACGAAAATTTCAAAAGCACTACTGACGGGGCCATCAAATATCTTGATGCATACCTCCGTACTCATGAGGAGAAAGCACGCCGGATCTAACAGCGTGACGCAAACCACCGAACTCGGCGACATCGTAATTACCCAGCCAACAACGACTGTACCAAAAGAGTGGCCGGTAAAATGAGCAGCTGTGTGCCCGTGGGCCTTGAGCATGTCCGTCAACTGAGACACGACCTCGCGGGGGCTGGGCACGCTGAGCCAGGGCGCCGTCGCGAGGAAGGGCAGATCTGGCACGAAGATGTCGCCGCTGTGATTCCTCGCCAGCCGTAGCACGAAGAGGTAGTACGGGACGAGACCCACCCCGAGGCCGTGCACAACCACCAACGGCGTCTGCATGGCCCCCGCGATGTCCACTGCCGGATCCATGCCAGAGCAGGGCAGCCGGTGCCAATAGGTCAGCCCACCGATCCGCTCCTTACGAAAGCCAATGATCGACATGAACTGCGTGGTCATCAGGGGGCAGAGGAGCGAGGTGCCGACGTACACCAGCATCGGTCGGTGGCGTGTCGGTATTGGGTCTGACCAGACCCGGCGAGCCTGAACTCTGCCGTTGCGACCTTCCCGCAAGACAAATCCCATGTTCGCGATGACCAGATCTACGAGTGTCGTCAACTCTGCGCTCTCGTTCGGGCTTCTCTGCTTCAGTTCCTCCGCGTCGGCGCCTCGAAACCAGTAGTGCGATACCCAATCCTCAAGATTCCCACGCCAGAGCCAGGTCGCAATGTCACAGACCTCTCCCTTGCCCGCTCCGTAAAAGAACCCCGCAATGTTCGTCCACTTGGCTAGCTGCAGGTCGGCGTCGGTGATGTCCCCGTTGTCCCCCCACACCTGACGGAGTAAGAAGACACCGATACCGCTACTCACCAGACGCTCCTCGAGAATCCAGTCGTGGCGACGAGGGATCTCCAAACCGAGCAGCGGCATCGGTATTTTTTCCCCCTGAGCACTAGAGGCCTCCCAAGTGGGGTCCGACCAGATGTGGTCGGAGGATCGCGCCGCATCGCCGATACATCGACGACATTGGCGATGCATCGGCGACGCCTGCGTGGAGAAAGCCGGGCTCCGCATCGAATTACATCCCGGATGCGTCGGCGATGCGGCGCGATCCACCGACCCCATCTACTCGGACCCCATCTGGTTGGTCTAAAGTATCTTTTCTCCGCTCAAAATCGGTCCCCAGACCCCTTCTCCCAGGGTCCATCTGGTGAAGTTTTTCATCCTGGATCCGTTTCTGACGGTCCCTGGGCCCGAAAACAGCCCCTGGAGGCTGAAAAAGGCAAAAGAACTTCCCTAACACAGAACCTCGAGCCTGCCCCCCCATCTGCTGGCCAGAACCAATGCTGGGCCAAGTCGGGTCGGGGGCGTCCAAGAAGGAGGCGTCCCAGAGGGAGTCTCGCAAATCCTGGCCCGCGGCACGTGCGCGGCACATGGGCAGCTGGGGGACGTATTGAAATAGGCAGAGGCGCCATGAAATCATGGGAGATATCATGACCCTCGCAATGATATCCACACACCCTGGGCGTGTCCACAGGCGGATCTTGAGGTAAAAAGTCAAGAATACTCCAAACATGCTCAAAAATATTCAAAACATACCCCAAAAAGACTCCCCAGACAGTTTCTTACTATTTCTGAACGTTCCTCCTGTAGAGGGGGAGGCCAGACTGAACCCTAGTCGTCACCCCCCTCTTGGCCGCCCCCGATCAGACCCCCCAGCCGACCCCAACCCCTGAACGCCTTCAGCATGTCGTTCACGCTCTGCTCCCGGCCGATGCCCCCGAGGCCAAGGAGGTTGGCGGCGCTCGACCTTCGGGTGTTGCTAGAAGTACCCCTGGCCCAAGGTACCCCCAGGATTCTCGGGTTGGCCCAGACGGCCTCAGGGCACCCCTCACGAGGCCCAGGGGGCCCCGGGGGCTCCAAAACGGAGCGAAAAGCTGGGGGCACCTTGGGCCAGGGGCACTTCCAGCAACACCCGAGACCTGCACGATGACCCAAACTCGAATCGGCCATCAAAAGGCACCGAATCGGCAGAAACCGGCAAGCAGATCGACGGCAACGGAATCGACGTCCGCCGGTCCAGGCCGAGGCATGCACGAGGACACCCCAACCAGAGTCGGAGTCCAAAGCCGGATCGGCTCGAACTCGGAAGCCTCGGAACGGACTGGATCGATTCGAATCGACGGGGCCGACATGGCTGCCGGACCTGCCCCTCTGCAGGGGCGCCGCCAACGAGCGCGCCGAGGACGCCCGCCGGACTGCGTCCTGCAGCGAGGGCGCCGAGCCGCCCGCCGGGCGGGAGCCGCCCACGTCCTTCTCGGGGGCGGCCGAGAGGGGGGCGTCCGAGAGAGGGGGGGCTCTGCAAGTCATGGCCCGAGGCGTGTGCGCGGAGGAGGGGAGGCCAGGGAACGAATTGGAAGAATCGGGCGAGACCAGGGAACGCATTGGAAGAATCGGGCGAGTGGTCATGGGGGGTGACCTAAGTGGGGGGTGGAGTGAAGGACCCTACAGGGGCCCAGGGTTATGTTTCTCCCCTCGTGCTTAAAGACCACATCCCAGAAACAATTTCGAGCACCCGGAGAAGTGTCGAAAGAGTGTCGAAACAGTGTCGGACGAGTCACCCAGGGCCCGACCACATGAAAACCCTTGAGTTTCGGTACTTTCGTAGTGCTCAAAAGTATGATCAAGGCTGAAGTATGTTGGAGCATCATAACTGTAAGGCTCTCCTCTTGGAGCCAGCAGCTCCTTACCACCCGCCCGAAAGAAGAACAGGGGCCATGAGATCTGGTGAGATGTTATGGCTCTGGCCATGCTATCCACGATCCTTCGGCGGCGCGCTAAGTCTTCTCAAGTGTTCGGAAGCGGTCGGTTTGGGGGAAATTTTTGGACGGTTTCGAAGGTTGCCGTCAGTGTTGGAGTCCTCGGGTGGTTCCTATCGGCTGCGCCTCGTCGAGAGCTCTCCCGGAGCGCATGGACCCTCCGGAGCGGCCGCCGGAGACCCGAGATATGACCGGAGACCGGACGACGAGCGGGTCCGTCTGGCGCCAGGGGGGGAAGCCTTCCAAGAAGGCGGGGGATTCTTGGACTTCTGGTAGGTGGATCTCTCAAGCTCTCCGCAGGAAAGCGCGGCATTGACAGTGTAGCTCCGCGCACGTGCCAAGTGCTAACGAGCAGGAACACAGCAAAGCCGTCTCAGGGAGCGCACGGAGGCTTCTAGGAGGCCTGCCTAGAAGCCTCCAGACGCGAAAGCGTCGTGTCAATCTTGGTCACTGTCCATCTTGGTCAGCGTCTTACTATTCGTGGATCATCCTCACGAGATTGGCGACGACCGGCATAGACCATGACCAAGATGGGCATCGATAAGATCCAACGATGTCTTGGTCGTAGTCCCACGTCTGGCTATTCGCCTGGCCACCGCAGCTCTTCTTCGGACCACCGGACGGGCCGACAAAAAAGAGCGGGCCGGGCAAGGGACAGAAACGGGCAGGAGTGCGAGGAGCCGGGGAGCGAGCAGGGGAGGGGGGGAGAAAGGGAGGGCGACGATTAGGTCGGGCATGTCCCCCTACAGGTGGATTCTCGACGAGAAACAGAAAAGTCAAAAGGATATTCAAAAATAGTCAAACAGATACTATGGACAAATCGTTCCCCGACGATTTTCTTTGAATATGTCTCCTGTAGAGGGACAGGCCCGACTTAAGACGACAGGACAGGACACCGGGCGGCCGAAAGACGGAGGTTACGGGGAGACGGGGGAGGGGCAGCCGAGCGGGATAGAGAGAGAGAGGTCATGATTCCCGTGCGTCTGCCCTCGACGTCCTGCTTGCAGACCTGCACCAGCGACAGGAGCCACCGCTCGAGAGACCGCCTCTTCTTCTCCGGGGTGGAGTGGGTGCTGACCGCCTGCCACCTCATCGGAGGAGCAGGGCCAGGTCAAGCGCTCGCTAATTGCTATGTGTTGGCTCCTCCTCCTCCTCCTCCTCCGCCTCCTCCTCCGCCTCCTTCTCTTCGTGCTCATCCTCATCCTTCACGTCCGTCTGCAGGCGTTCCAGCTCAGGTCGCCGCTTTCCGGCCCCAGCGCCTCCACACCAACGGCGGCCCTCCCTGGCGTCTTTGTTCGTCCTGACGTCGGCACGGCTGAATCCGCCTCGGAAACGAGACCAGGATGGACCCCTCCAGGGTCGAGGGAACGATTTTGAACGCATTTAAATCATTTCCTCAAATATCCATTCTCCAAACAGAGCTTGCACTTAGGCTTTCTAGGCAAAAAGGTTGTGCCGCCGAGGTTCGGCCACGCTCCCGCCTGTGGGCGCCCCCGAAGTAGCGCCACGTACGTTCCCGCCCGTGGGCGTCTCGTGACCCGTGTCCCGGTTCTGGAGGACACGCCGGGGTCAGAGCCGGGGCCAAGACCCGGTTTCGGGGGGGGGCGTGTCCACGTTTCGCTCTCTGGGCTGGGACCGGGGCCCGAGCGCTGCTTAGATAGGTGCTGGCGTTGCAAAGGGCATGGAAGTGTTGTAGGTGGATGCTAAGGTGGGTTGCGTATGGCCTGACCTAGTGTCGAGGTGGGTCACATGTGCAATGTGCCATGAACGGCTTAGGGGGTTCGATAGTTAACCCCGTGTGGGCGGAACCCACAGCTTGGATCGTTAACCGCTCATGTGGCACGTGTAATTTGCTTATGAGTTGAGTTTGGCCATATGTGACCCACTATAGTACACAATCACGATTCCCCTCAACCCTTTAGCAACGCCTGCACCGACCGGAGCCAGAACTAGGCCCGGGGACGGGGCTGGGGCCAAGAGGGCCAGGGCTGGGGCCAGGGCCGCCGGGGCTGGAGCCTGGGTTGGGGCTGGGGCCAGGGCTGGGGCTGGGCGGGGTCGGGACAGGAGCTGGAGCTGGGGCTGGGGCGGGGGTCAAGGCTGGGCGCGGGGCCCAGAGCCGGGGCCGTGTCCAGCGGGGCCAGGGCCAGGGGCCAGGGCCCAAAGCCAACGACCCACCACCGAGTCCACCCGTCAGGGAACTAGCCCGCCAACAAGCTCGACAGACGGACGCGACGCAAACATTCCATGTAACACAGAACCCCGAAGGCGACTGCCAACACGCTTCTTCCCCTCCTCCTCCTCCTCCTCCTCCTCCTCCTCCTCCTCCTCCTCCTCCTCCTCCTCCTCCACCTCCTCCTCCTCCTCCTCCTCCCCCTCGTACGTGCCTGGCGGAATGAGTCCACGGTGGCCGTCTCAGCGCCGCAGTTGGTGTGCCACTGTGGGCCCGATCAGCTTCGCAGTAACGGAGGTGATAGGAAAGCCGCTTGCACGCAAGGCATGATAAAGGAATGTGGATGCGATGGGCAAGCGGAGTGAATCAGAAGAGGGGCGCCTGAGACCGAACCTGTCGCACGGGTCAGACGGGATGTGCGAAACTTGCAGAACGCGAGCAAGGACAGAGCTGAAAATGAGGCACGACCAGTAATGTGGGAGCGAGCGAGCGGATCGAAAAGAGGCAAGGACTGTGGTGCCCATCTCCTTCGGGAATCCTGCATGGGCACTCGCTAGAAGCTCAGCGAATGCGCTTTGCTTCAAAACTTTTGGATCGAGCAGAGGGCATGGGATATCCATCGGCACTGTGTCATCGATGCGAGCTTCAGTAGCGACCTGCAGGGAGGTGGGGACTTCGCGCCAGGTCGCGAGAGGTAATACTGGCTCTCACTAGAGCACTGCAGCACAATGAAGTTAGACAGTGGAACTTCGGGCGACACCAACTCTGCAGGCACAACTGGCCCGACATTGGCAAAACACAATGGGGGATCTTGAGCAACCGAGCAATGGCAACACTCTCTCCTGATGAGGGAGGGCCGACGGCGGTGGCATAAACGGAGCAACGTAAGATAAAACACTGGCGGCCCGTGATTCGCATAAGTGGCCCATAGCGACAGCAGGAGCACCCTTTCGCGCAAGGGCGATGCCACGGGAAACCCATTTAGCGAAAAGCTCTCTCCAAGATTCGTCAGTGACGGCAGGTCCGAGCCAGAAACCCGAATATTTAAGCTGAGAGCGGATGGGAAAACAGGCCCAGTCGGGCACGTGGGAGGCAGGCCATTTACTTATGTCCGATGCGGTCTGGTCGTCGAACAGGGCGTAGGCCGGGACAACAATGTACTTGGAGCGCTTGAGGATGAGAACCGCGACTCTGGCCGCGACGCTGAAGATGCGGCGGAGGGTGGTGATTGCGGTCAGCTGCGTCAGGGCTGCCCCGATGTCGTCGGCGCGCGCTCTGATCTTGCCCGCTCCTCGGCCGTCACTCGAACGCTTCATGTCCTGCAGAAAAGGATCGACGCGGATGACGACAAAGGGCGCCTGACGCTGGGCGCCCATGCGCGACCCCGCTGAGGACCAGGTGCAGGAAGGCGGTCTGCAGGGGAAAGATCCCGTTGCAGATGATGCCCGAGTATAGCTCTGATATGGACACCAGCAGCGGCGGCGGAAGTGCGCATGATTTCAACACCTTCTGCAGCCAAGGGTGGGCGAGGCTCGGGAAAACCGCGCCAAACTCATAGCTCAATAGAACGGGCTTGAGCGAAAAAGCCAACGGGCTCGCCGAGTACAGTCGGGCATATCCGTCGAGTTCAACTATGCTCTGACCGAAATCTCTACCTTGAACAAATCCACGCTGCCTTTTACATAGTTGGTCTGGGAGAGCTCGGGGCAATCTCTTGAATGGAACAGCTGTTCTGATCTTCGCGCCCGTGCTTTGTTTAATTTCCGTGGTCTAAGTCCCGAAGCGGGTCAAACACATCCGATGGACCCCTCCTCCCCCTCGATGGGTTTCGGAGAGAATATGCCGAGAAGCGAGTTGAAAACGAGCGGCGTGCTGCAACCTCGGAGTAACCACCAACAGGTCTCATCCAAAACTTGGCAGGCGTGAGGGGCATGCTTCCAGGCTAAATGCGGCAGCAGGGCGGGGCCTGGGGCCGAATCCGCGAGCTTCTGGAGGATCTGCTGGAGGTCCGCAAGGGCTGGGGGCGGCAGGTCGGGAAGGTCGACGCGATGCGCGAAGCGCTCGAGATATCTGTCAGCAGCGCGTTCATCAATAATTTTGACGCCAGAGACCTCGCCCCAGCGCGGTGCGATCTCTGTCTTATCTGAGACTCATCCGTGACATTTTTCGCTTACTCTGACCCCCGCCAGCGGGGGCCGCTTGTCAGAAGATGCCCAGGGGCGCGACCTCCGAACCAGGTAGCGAAGACGCTTCTTCATCTTCGCGCTCATGCTTGTGCTGTCGGACTGGGCCAGTCTCTGGCGCGCCCGATGCTGTTCGCTCTCAGCGTCAGCCCACCGGGGAGCGTCGACACGCGCAGGAAAGCCCGCTAGGTCGGAGAGGGAGAGCGATGGAACGGAGAGGTCGAGCGACATGAACTGTCGGCCTAAGTTGCATTGTAACAGTCTGGCAGAGCCACGAAAAACTTGTCTCAAAATAATGCTGGAAATTGGACGAAGCAGAAGTATCTGCCTCCTGGGGTCCCGCGGGTCGCCCCGGAAGAGGCTGTTGCGGGCGTCGCTGGGGCCTTCCTCGAGGGTCTCCTTGCACTGGGCGAGCAGCAGAGGGGGCGAGAGAGAAGCGGGGTCGATCTGTTCCATTTTCACGTTTATGAGCTCTTTGGATTTCTCGCGCTGGAAAAAGAGTTTTGAGGGATGAATAGAGAATCAGGATCGGGGGGGGGGGGGGGCGATGGCGGAGAGCAACCAGAAGAGCAGCGTGGTCCGATGCTCCACGCATCTCCGGGGCTTCGGGCGACTCAGAGACCTCGGCAGGTGCAGACGTCATCGGAAGACGCCAACTCGGACCAAGCACACATATACGACCAATCAAAGATGCATGTGCATGAGCTCCGTTGTAGCGCGCGGGGTCTGGGGATTCAATTTCCACCATCTGCCCTAGAGACGCCTTCCATCCTTCATCTCGGGAGCGATGCCACCCCGGCGCCGCGGCCGCGGGCCGAAAGGCGGCAGGAGGCGCAGTCGGCCGCGGCGGGGGGGGGGTGATTGAAATCACCAGCCGCAACAACCAGGTGCGAAGATGGGTGCATGAAAGCGTCGTTGAGGGAGGTATTTATATGAGGGTGACCTGGTATCTGCCATCATTCGTCAACTCGTGATTGTGTATGTTGCAATGATGGATGGTGACGCGGACAGAGGACGGCGATTCAAAATCTCCAAACTCCACACAGGTATACAGCGCGCGGCCTGGCACCAGCGATCGGCCGTACATTCGCGATGCAGGACCAAATCCGCGCTGAGGGAGAGGAAGGGGAACGAAAATAATGACACCACCATTCCTCCGTGAGTCAAAGAAGGAGCAGTTGGCTTGGTGTGGGCGGGTAGAGAAGTGGAGCAAGTCTTGAATATCCTCCCCATTTCCATGTGTCTCTCGGGTAGCGGCAATAGAGGGAACAGAGATAAGAGAGCGGAGGAAATCGCATTTCTTTGAACGGGTGGTCGGATCATGGTGAAAAAGAACGAGAGCATTCCAGGTGGAGAGACGAATAGAAACTTCTTGGGAGGCAGACGGGGGGAGGAAGCAGAACAGGACGCTGAATACTCTACTGCGAATTTGCGCTCTGGCCGCGGAGAAAGGACGCCACCTCCTCGGCGATCTCCGCGCGGTTGATCTTAAACTCGCGGCAATGGCCGTCGTCCCATTCGACCAGAGGCTCTGCATCTGGGCGAGGGGTGACCTTGCAAATCGGCTTCCACTGGCATGAAATCTCGCCCTTGAGCCGGTCAGTGTAGAGACGGATGCCGCACTTTTCCGTGAGGAATTTGCAAAGGAGTTTCGTGTAGAGCTTTTTTTGGTTTGAGACTGGTTCTTGTCAGATGAAATCAAAAGGGCGGTCGGAACGCCATCGGGCGACTGGGTCTCAGACTTCTGGTAGGAACCATCGTCGCGCTTGAGGTGAGGCACTGCGGTGCACGACGCGCAGCGCATCCACGAGCACCGTTGAAGTCAAGAGTAACTCTGCGTCCCGCTTGGTCTCCTTGGGTCTCGTAATCACCGACGTCGACATTGCAACTCTGGACCCACGGGAGACTAGCCTGACCACTCATTTCTTTTGTAACCATCGCCTGCGCACGGATGACCAGGATACAAGGATTGGTTTCACGATTGAGTCCGAGGGGTTCTGGCAGGGCGTGCTTGACTGGCTCAGCTTGAACAACCAATAATTCTTTCCTGAGAAGCTTGATTTCCTCAACCATGTCCTCGATCGACTTCTCCGTCCTGGGCACGCGCTTGTCGATGTCGGCGACGCGGGCCTCCAGCTGGTTCTGGATGGACGCGGTGTGGGACGTGATGGTGTGGGCCAGGTGGGACATGCTGTTCTGGATCGTGGCGAGCTGGGCGAGCATCTCTGATTTTGTCGAATCGACATGGGCCCAAATGGGTCACTTGTACGAGCAGCTTTAGGATGAGGAAGAGGACGGTCATCATCATCAGACGGGGTCGCCGTACCATTATCATGAACGGCGGCTCTCATCTGTGAGAGAGCGGGCAAAGGAAACGAGACGGATGGGCCGTCAGCGGGAAGGTGCTCCCCCAGGAGCTCACCGCCGCAAATGGAAGCCAAGATGCAGACCTTTGTGTCGCGGGCCGAGTCTGCAAAAAGGCGCGGGCCTCTGCACCACCTCGAGAAGATGACAACTTGAGCCAAAATAGTTTGAGCCAAAATGGCTACGGGCCTCCTCCTCCTCCTCTTTCTGTTCCCGCTGCCCCCATCATCCTCCCTTCTGCCTCCTGCCTCCTCGAAGTAAGAGATTCACAAACCGCGAGGCCGCACGGAGCGCCCCAGAGCGTCCCCGATTGGCGGCACGGGCCAGAGGCCTCTGCACGCGCATTCTCCAGAAAGCGCTTGCGCTCAAGGGTTCTCGCTGGTCTTTACGGGCAGGCGGGTCGGTCCGCCGAGGTTTCGGCCACGCCTCCCGCCCGTGGGCGCCCCGTGCCCGGGGTGGGTCCGCCGAGGTGCCGCCAACGCTCCCGCCCGTGGGCGCCCCGTGAGGCCTCGTGGGCGCACAGCCCAGACCGCGCAGCCTACATCACGCAGTTGCATCACGTAGTCTACAACAGAAGCAGCCTACACCACATAGGTCGCACCGCAGAGCTTACACAACATAGCTCACACCACGAATATTGCACAGCATGGCTCGCTCCACACAGCTTGCACCATGCAGCCGAGTTGCCCCGGAGAGCTTGCACCTCCGGTGCATAAGCTCACTGATCGGGGTCCACAAGCTGGCCAACAGATTTCATGAGTACATGATGCTCGAGCTTTCTGGAAACTGTTCGTCGCCATGGCGAGGTCCGTGGTGACGACGGGTCAGGAGTGACACTGGGCGGAGTCTAGACGGTCTTCCTAATTTTTCGTGGGCCTCCTCGTCGCCATCCGCTTCGAAAAACGCGTCAGGCTGAACCCCAGGAGAGGTCCGGGGACAGCTTCTGAGCAGGCTGGGCTGGGCGCACCCAGCCCCACCTACTCATAACCTGCCTATAAGACCTATTATTAGCCTACGTGCGACTGGCTTACACCCTACTGAGTAACCACGCCAAACCCTTAGCAACCCCGCCAAACCCTTAGCAACCAACGCGGCCATCCAAGTCCTCGTCGCCGCCTCGAAAAACGAGCCAGGAGGATCCCCAGGAAGGGTCCAGGGACAGATTCTGAGCAGGTTGGGCTGGGCGGGAGGGCCGAGGTTGTCTCAGTTCGGGTGTTGCTAGAAGTGCCCCTGGCCCAAGGTGCCCCCAGCTTCTCGCTCCATTTTGGAGCCCCTGGGGCCCTCTGGGCCTCGTGAGGGGTGCTCTGGAGGCCGTCTGGGCCACCCCGAGAATTCAGGGGGGCACCTTGGCCCAGGGGCACTTCTAGCAACGCCCGATCATTTGGCCCAGCTCTGGACCTCCTGTTCGTCTGGGAGTTCAGATACCTCCGGCACGACTCCATGTACACCCAGAACAGCGTCTCCGACAGCATCCTCGGCGGCGTGCTCTCAAGGGGGTTGGCGCGAAGGGGCGGCCTTCCTGGGGGGGGGGGCTCTCAGAATGCAGGGGCACTCGCAGAAGGGCAGCGAGGCTTCGGAAGCCTGGGAGGGCTTATGGGAAACTCCACGCCTTCCCAAAATCGGGGGCGCGCAAACATGGACTAGCGCTCCATGGATTAGGCGCGCGGTCGCCGAATCCATGGATCGGGCGAGGTGCCCTCCCCGAAATGCGGCCGGATGTGCCTCGGTCGGCGGAGGAAATCCGCGATTTCCCATGGAAGCGGGACCCGTCGCTAATCCACGCCCCCTTCATCCATGCTTGCGATCGCTGGATGAAAGCTCCCTGGACGTATCAGAAGGCCGCCCCCCTCCAGCTGCCCCCTCGCCCTGAGATCCAGGTGCATATGTGAAAGATGCAACACCACGCAACCTCACGATGGGAGCCCCAGGCCCCGCTCTCCTGGCGGCATTCTTCGCATGGCGGACACGAATCCTGGAGGGAAGGGGTCCTGAGGCATTTCCGCGCTTTCGGGCCGCAGGGCAATCAAAAAGCAACTCGGGGCGAAGAGCTGGTTCTGGAGAAAGCCCCCCTGGGGGTCTAGGGCCCGTCTCCGTTAGGATCCCGCCTTCATGGCGACTTGTGGCCGGACGAAGACGCCAGGGGTGACAGACATTTCGGGAGCGGCCAAGAGGGGGGCGTCCAAGAGGAGGGGGTGCAAATCATGGCCGGCGGCATGTGCGCGGCCAGGGACGTAATAAAATAAGAAGGGGCGCCATGAAATCTGTGGAAATATCGTGGCCCACGCTATGATATTCACCCCCCCTAGTCATCATCCCCCTCTTTGCCGCCCCCGGACATTGCGACGCCCCAGATCTCAGGCACTTCTGGGCGCCGTGGGCATCCATAAGGACGCCGCCTGGACCAGCAACCGCCTGAGGGAGGGCCGAAAAGGCAGGGGCATCGGCCCAAGTTCCTTGCACCGCGGAACGCGGAACCACCATTGGGAGGAAAGCTGCATGCCTGATGTGTGGGGACTGGGCCGGTGGGGGGGGGACGTTGACTTGGAATCGGCGATGCATCGCGGATGCATCGGCGATACATCCATCGTGCGACCACGAGGAACGCTGGAGCAAAGAACGAGGGGGCTTTGCTGGCCGCGGCGAGCCTCGGCCACGAAGGGGCCCCCCCACCCACAGGATCTAAGGAACGGCCCCAGAGCTTGAGGACCTGAATCATGCAGCCAAAGTCGCCCTTCTTGCAGCGTCTTCACCGTAAACCCTCGATGGCGAAACCGCAGGCTTCTCGGCCCGGGCCCCGATTGGAAATGAATGGGCGATGAGTGGTCGATGCTCCCACCCTGCCCGGACATCCGGACGCCAAGATCTTTTTAATTCACAACGTGGCTCCCCAAAGGTCTGGACCCCTTCCCGGGGACTGGCATTCCAGCCGGAGCAGTTTTCTGATGGCCCGGCCTGACAAGAGCTCCCGGAGGTCGCAAGTTGCTAGAAGCCCGTCGTGCTATATCGACGCCCCTGACCGCCGTAGCGCCCCCTTGCCGGCCAGGGTGCCCCGTACCTGAGCATCGTTTCACCAACCCCCATCCCCGCTTACGGGGCCTGGGCCCCGCTGGCCGACTTATTCCACCGAGGTGGGGATATATGACCCCGGATCGAGGGTTCACATGCCCCCTCCCCCCAGGGCCCCAGGGTTCCAGAGGCGCCCAGGGTTCCAGAGGCACCCAGACGGGATGGGCCCCAGGATTCCAGAGGCCCCCCCTTCCAAGATGGCATGGCATGGGGGGAGGACGACGACCACGACGATGACGGCGACCACGACGACGACGACGACGACGACGACGACGACGACGACGACGACGACGACGACGACGACGACGACGACGACGACGACCCGCAGCACAACCCCGTAACCACAGGGGGAGGGGCGGGGGCATCGGCCTCCCCCTCCACGACGCCATGCCCTGCCCAGAGGACCACGACCAGTGGCGGGGGGGGGGGCGATGCCACGCGCGAGGCCTACGCGAGGGCGTACCCATTCAGGCGGGGGGGGAGGGGCCGATCTCATTACCATTGGGAGGGAGGCCTGGAACCTTGGATCGTATCCGCCACCGTGCCCCCTGGCACGTTGAGGCGTGCTAGAATGCCACGTGCTATCTTATCTGGTAGGGGTTCTGCGATTTTGTAAAGGGCCACGCCCTCTCCAGAAGCACCCAACTGCGTGCATCGCCCCGTCTCCGCGAGGCCACAATCCTTTTTGAAAAATATTCCAGTTTCGCGCTCCCGAGGCCCAGATGTCCCCAAGACGGACGGCCCACTATCGCTCCAAGACGGGCCACTTAGGCCTCAAGACGGCCCAAGATGGCTTCAAGACGGCCCACGAGGCCTTCGAGGAGCCCCAAGAGCCTTCCCAAGAGGGCCTCGAAAGGCAAAATCACTGATTTTCGGTAGGTTGTTCAATGCTTTTCGGGTTCCGACCTTTTCGAGCTTCCGACGTCCCAAGTCGACCCAAAATGCCACCAAGAGGACCCCAAGATGGCCCGAGACGGCCCAGAAGGCGCCCATGAATGCCCAAGACGGCCACAAGTAGGAACAAACAGCGTCAGCTCGAACCGACAGTTCGAGCCTTCCGCCTCCCAAAGAGGGCTCAGGAGGCCCGGAGAGGGCCGGCAAAAACATGATTTTAAAGTTTTGTTTTGAATTGTTTAATTGGGCTCTCCCATTGTCGAAATTCTGGCGCTCCAGCACGGCCCAAGGGGCCCTCAAAACTCCCCTGAGATGGCGCAGTGAGGCCCCCCAGTGACTTCCACGACCTGCCAAGAGGGCTCCAAGGCAGTCCATTGGAGGCCCAAGACTGCCCAGAAGAACCCCAAGAAAATGGGAACACGAACCAAGCATTCGAGCCTTATGCCCCAAAAGGCCCCCAGCAGCCCCCCCTGTATCCTCGAGTACTTGCTACCTAGAATGCTGCGCTGGCACGGAGGTGGAATCACACCAGCCCTTTAGCGAGTGAATGGTTTAGGGAGGTGTTCCTTCCAACCCCCTTTCTTCCCCTTCGGGGAAAGGTTAAGCACTGTCCCCTATCAATATGCACCCCCTCCCCCGGGCGACCAGCAGCCAACCAGTAACAATGCCGACCCCATGCTCGCCCCTGAACCGCCCCTGTCACAAAACAATGCCAAACACACTCTGCCTCACTTTTGGGCACAGACTTGGGGCAATGTCTTGAGTCATGTTCGTGAGACTCGCGAGCACGTTGTATTGTTTTTGTAAGGGACGGCGAGGGTGTCAGCATATTGCTTGCTGTGCGGAGGGCTGCCATCCCTGACAAAGAACAATGCAGAATGCACCTCGCGGCAAAGTCTGGATCATGCGCGGCCACCCCGCGATCACTGTCAAGTGTTTTTTGACAGGAACGGAAGGGGTGGCGGCGCATGGCCTGCTGTACGCATGCCGACCAGACACAATGATGGGCATTGGTTTCGACAAAAATGGTGGGGCCCGACATGTTTCCCGATGTGTGCTGTCACGGCGCAGGTGCACCTGACGCACTCTGCACGTGCCCCGAACGTGGCGCACCTGGCGCGGCTGGAGTGTGCGGCGCACCTGGCGCACTCGGAGCACGTGGCGGATCTGGCACACCAGGCGTGCCTGGCACGCTCGAGCCCAAGGGGTGCCTAGCGCGCGTGGCGTCTTTGGCACGCGCGGCGCACTTCGCCCGCGCGTCGCGCGGGGTCGGCGTTGATTCCCTGTAGCTGCCCATCCACAGACGACCGCTGAACATGCGCAGGCTCGGGCGTTACTTTCGGGGGCGCGCAAACATGGATTAGCAATCCATGCGTTTGGCGCGCGGTCGCAAAATGCATGGATCGGGGGAGGTGCCCTCCCCGAACTGCGGCCGGTGCCGCCTCGTCGGCGGCGGAAATCCGCGATTTCCAATGGAAACGGGACCCGTCGCTAATCCACGCTCCCTTGATCCATGGTTGCGATCGCCTGATACTTATGTGTTGGGGGGGCGGGTGGGAGTGAGCTAGACGGCTTGCGGGCGGGTCGGCAGCTCGACCCCGCCCCTCTAATCCGATAGCCCTTATAACGGCGACGAGGCGACGATCGAAAGCAGTGCCCCGGCACTGCTTTGAACGCGTTCAAAGCAGTGCCCCGGCACTGCTTTGAACGTATGATATGATGATATGATGATGATTATGATTGATGATGATGATGATGATTTTTCCAGCGTACACTGTCCGCAACTGCGGCAATCAACACCATGCTCCACTTGCCCGCAACTGCGGCCATCACCAACGCTGCGCCTCGAAGCTCCACGGAGGGCGCTCGGCAGGTCGCCCGCTCGAGCCCCACTCGACTTCACGCTGAGGAGGCGAGCCCTCAGGGGCATTGTCCGCAACTGCGGCATGATCAGAGGGCCACCACTGCGCGCCATCAGCGCCCCATTCGCTCGAGCTCCAGTCCCACCAGGACCAGCCCTGCCATCTCGTGGCGGGACTGCGCGCCTCCCATGCGCCGCTGCCGCTGGCGTCCCAGGACCCAGCCGCCACTGCGGCACAAGAAGGGGTCGCATCGTCGCCGTTGGCAGCTTGCGGCGGTGGCGTGTTCCCAGCTCGCTCAGCCCCAGCGTCTCTCCCCGCAACTGCGGTTCCCATCTGGGGTCGGACGCCCTTCCCCGCAACTGCGGTGTCCGCGTAGCTGCCCTTCTTGCCGCCCTTCTTGCCGCCCTTCCTGCCGCCCTTCCTGCGTTCCAACCTCGCGGCGAGTCTTTCAGGTGACCTGCGGCACGTATTGTGCGTGAAAGCCACCAGAGGGAAGTGCGCTCCGTGCCTCGCCCTGCCGAAGGCGCCATGCCATATCTTGTCGTCGAGGTTGCCCTGCTTCACTCTGAAGGGATAGCGCACCCAATCGTCGCGTTCCCTGCGCGCCATCCTTTGCTCGAACTCCGCAACTGCGGTCAAGGATTCGCCAGATGGCGTCAGGAAGGCGCGCATCTTGTTTTCAACGGGCTCAGCCTTGGGCACGTAAGTCTGAAGCATCTTCCCAGGGCCATTCGTGTAGTCGAAGACAGGGAAAGACGGATCATGCTGGGTCGTCAAGAATCCGCCCTCACGGTCGTGCAGAACACTCAGGCCATGGTGAAGCTTGTACTGCCCAGGACAGTTTATGAACAAAATCGCCATGCTGTCTGCCCTGGGCTGGCCGCCTGCTGTCTTCCAGGGGGTCCACGCGGCGACGTCCACAGTCAGGCCGCAATTGCGGCACCAGGACACAAGCTGGAACATGCACATGTTGAAGTCCCCCATGCAGACCTTCACGTCCCATTCCCTGACGTAGGCGACGAACCAGTTGTAGAACTCATGGAGCTTCGTGACGCCCCAGTCTTGGTTGGCCAAGCTGTGGTGGACGTGCACCGCCATGACGTTGAAGGAGCCCCCCAAATGGGGCACGGCCTGGTCCAGGTGGACGCGCACCACCATCGCCCTGGAGTACTTGTTGTGCAGCTTTGGCGCAGGAGCCTCCGCAACTGCGGACTGTTTCTTCTTCTTCTTCGTTTTGGACTTCTCCTGCTTGTGGAAGAGTCTCGCAAAGTCTACGTGTTCAATGTGGCCGCCACTGCGGTCCCTCATGCCAACAAGGAGGGTCCCTGATGGCTCGCCGCCCTTAACGCACAGGTAGGTGTATTGAGTCCGACTCCGAAACCTATCGTCCGCAACTGCGGCTGCACTGTCCCTCGCGTCGTGCTCCCCACTGAGTACCGCGCAGGTCTCGTCGTCGCACTCGCAGAGGGCGATGATCTGGGCAGGGTTCGCGCGGAGCTGCGCCCACTCGTCCGCGCGTTGCGTGGGTCTAGCTGCAGTCCCTCCGAAGTTGGCCACGTAGAAGCCGACCCGTCCCGCTTCGAACTCCGTTTTCTCCTCCCATGCGTCGACAAGAGCTCTTTGTTTTTCCGACAGATTGCTTGTCTCGATGATGGGCACCCGTTTCCAGGTTCTCCGCGACGACAACACTCTCGGCATGTAGGAGTCATGTGCTGCCGCAACTGCGGCTCCCGCACCTCCCCGGGACTCAGCCTCGTCAGCGGAGGCAGCCGAGGACGCGACGGTGCTGTCGCCATCTTGCGTCCGCTGGTCGTCGTCATCATCCGCAACTGCGGCTTCCTCGTCTTTGCCTCCCTCCTCCTCCTCAGCGTTGTGGATGAACACCGTTCTGGCGAATCGAAATCCACGGTCCATACTCCCTGAGGATGCGCTCGGGCGCGCGGGCGGCCACATGCTTGCGTCTTCGCGTGCGCCACCTCGAGCCACGGTGGCTACGGAAATGGATCGTGAATGGGCATGGGGTCGGATGGAGGGAGGAGACAAAGAGGATTCGAGGAGTGGCAGAAGGAGGGCGAGGACTCAAAGGAACCGAAAGAACAACAAATGGACTGGCGGAGAAGCAGAAGGAGGGCGACGATTGCAAGGGACTGTGAAAGGATTATTTTCACAGCAGCAGGAAGACCGCAACTGCGGTTTTGCCTCATCTCCTGCCCGCGCGGGAGCCGCTTGGAAA